CAAATTGGTTTCTTGAACATGACAATGAGTTCACTGTACTACAATGGCCCCCACAGTCACCAGATCTCAACCCAATAGAGCATCTTTGGGATGTGGTGGAACGGGAGCTTCGTGCCCTGGATGTGCATCCCACAAATCACCATCAACTGCAGGATGCTATCCTATCAATATGGGCCAACATTTCTAAAGAATGCTTTTAGCACCTTGTTGAATCAGTGCCATGTAGAATTAAGGCAGTTCTGAAGGCGAAAGGGGGTCAAACACCGTATTAGTATGGTGTTCCTAATAATCCTTTAGGTGAGTGTGTATGTATGTATGTATGTATGTATGTATGTCTGTGTGTGTGTGTGTGTATATATATGTACACATATATAATGTTAGTGTATGTATATGTATAAAATAAATTTAGAGATATATAAAATTGCTAAAATAAATCACTGCTAAAATGAATAGATCCGTTGCTTAGGCACATCTTACATAATACTGTTCATGGTAACCATAGTATTTTTTGTGAACTTAGTGCTGAACGATATTAGAAAAGTATAACTTTGCAATATCTGATGTTTGTGTGATATTTAAGAGTTGAAAATTATGTAGAACTTTTTACCAACAGTGTTGGTCAAATAGATTGGTGGTGTTCCCATGAGTTGTGCCAACAAATAACTTGCTTGTGCTCAATATCGTCTCTATGGAATGCAGAATATATCCATACAGTGGAAGGCAAATGTCTTTTTGTGGCCAGTTCTTATTCGCTTTTCTCCATTTCACTCACTTTTGTTCAATTTCTCTCAAACCTGCCACATGGTTGATAAGTGAGTCCAACAGGGAGGACAAGAATGATAATGATAGTCTCGGAGAGTGCATGCAGAGCTCATGCAGAAGCACCAGCGATACGCTTTACACTGATTTTTTTTTGTTGTTGAAAAAAATCCATTAATACAATTGCAAAGCTTGCTAAATTTTGTCTTTTATGACTGAGTAAAAATGTTTTGCCGCAACTTACTGATGTCTTAACCTGTCTTAACCTCGTTGCATGTTTATGAAATGCCATTGTGCAAGCTGAGAGTGGCAGTGGGCATTGCTGTTACTGCACAACACCTCTTTGTTGTTGTTGTTCCACTAACCAAAAACATGCGACTTAAGTGAATCTGAGTGCCTAAATTGGTCGTGTGTGAGACTGTGTGGACCCTGCAACAGCTCCTGCCTCAAGTGGGGTGCAATGTGTATAATGTGACGTGACGTAATATGACATGACATAATGGAATAGAATGGAGTATATAAAAGATTACTCCATGAATCATGGAGTTTTGATGTAACTGATAGTGACAGCCTTAGATACAAAATAGGTATAAAGTACAATTTGGTATGATGCATCTCATCACTGGATACCCCTCCAACTAATGCTGGGTGATATGACTTCAGCTCAATATCATGATTAATTTAACATTTTACCTCAATTATGATTAATGATTTTTTTTTTTGAGTTCTCCATGTTGTTTCCATGTCGCAGACTGGACAGGGTGGAGTCACGTGACAACATGCACGGTAGTATGTTTCAAAGAGGACAGTACATGAACACACACTGGGGAAAGTATTAACAGAATTTAAAAAAAATCTCAAAATAACTCACATGGGCAATGTTCTGAATATCGCTTTTGATTAATTTTAAGTTAATTGCCCAGCTCTACCTCCACTCGTACAAGGGTTGGCTGACAGACTTGTGGAGAATTGGTCACTGAGTATGTAAAGTATGAGTATGCTCTTGAGAAACGGTTTAGTCCTGGGAAATCAATCCATCTCAAACTCCAGTGGACCGGGCATGCTAGGCGCGGGAGCCTCCTATCTTGGCATTCTCCTTTACGTTTTGTAATGTTGGTGAGGTCACATGGCATGGTGAGGGAGGTGCTGGCCCAGGTGCAGCACATCAGCAACAACTGCTGTCACAGTCTAAATTCATTTGTACTGATTCAGCCGAGAGTGCAATATAACGGGAGAGGTGGGTGAGGGTGAATACAGTCTAGAGGTGTATATGCCTTAAACAAGAAAATAATTGCACACACCTAGGGGTGTAACAGTACACAGGATTGTATTGAACTGTTCAGTACTCCCCTCACGGTTCAATAAGGACGTGTGAACTGCGGTACTATGCCTGCCATCTTCCTATTTGTACTGGTGCGAATATAGAACAGTTTCCCCAAAAAAAAAATACATCTAAAAATACTGGGGTTGTCTTTAGCGATGTAGAACTTAAATATCGTTATAAAATAGCAGATGCCGTAAATGGTCCACCTCCTCGTTAAATGTTGCCGCATATTTCAAATGTAACCAACATCTTTTCTGCAATATGATGGCATATGAGCAATGATCAGAAAAGTTCCTTCGTTAAACGTAGAATTGTCCAAAATGGTATGCTGACACATTAACACTAGAACTGCCAGTGTTTTTTGACCCCCTTTAACTGCCAGCAGTGACAATGTATCACACCTTTTGTTTTTGTTAATGAGCCATTGCATCCAGTTCACCTATCAAAAAAATCTTCACAGCAGCAGAGTTGCTGTCACCCCAAAATAGCCCCATAACAATCTGTATGAACAGACAAACATAAATACCAAAAGAATTGATTACTTTAATCACTATTACAGCTGGGTATTGGCATTGGGTATATTTCAAAAAGATATTTTCATATATATTTTTTATTTGTTGGACTAACAACATAATTGGAATGACAAGCTGTTTCAACCAAAAACAGTGCATTTTACAGTTCATTCCAAATAAAATGCAGGGTTGCCAACTTTGTTAAGCTGGCTGGAGTGAGATTTTCTATTCAACACAAGTTTGCACACTCATTTACGTGTGTGAATGTAGTATTTGCAAACTACCCTAATGCTTTTGATAGTCCAGTGGTGTCCTTTACATTGCACTTAGTGATGTGAGGCTTGCATGCAGGTGCCCGACCATGGAAGTCCATTCCGTGAAGTTCCCAGTGCAGAGTTTTTGTGCTGGGTTTAATGCCAGGGGTAGTTTGGAACTGCAGTTATTGAGTCTGATGACTTCTGCGCACTATGTGCCTCAGCACTCTGTGACCCCACTCTGTTACTTTGTGTGGCCTGCCACTTTGTGGCTGTTTCTTACAGCTGACTGTGGAATAACTAACAGGGAAGAAATTTCATGAATTGACTGATGGTACCATGCTTGAATTTCATTGAGCCTCAGAAAAACACATTCTTTCACAAATGTTTGTAAACCTGACTGCATTACTAGGTGCTGGATTTTATACAACTGTGGCCATTGGTCAGTCTGAATGAAACACCTGCAGTCAATGATTAAGAGGTGTGTCCCAATACTTTTGTCTATATAGTGTGTGTCTTGTGTCCATGTATGTATGTATGTATATGCCCAAACACATGCTCAAAGCATGCCCCAAAGCAAGCCAAGAGCAGCATCTAGTGGGGCCTTTTTGGCTGTCACTAATATATACATGTATAATATAAATTGTGTGTGTGTGTGTGTGTGTGTGTGTGTGTGTGTGTGTGTGTGTGTGTGTGTGTGAGACTTTGAAAAATACTGTTTGATATTTTGTGGGCATGGAATTGGTATACTCTAAAACTTTCAGTTCATGCTCAGTTCATTGACAAATTTTATCTTTGGGGCTATGTGCCGGACGGTGTGCGTGTAGCCCAGATTTTTATGTCTGCCAGACATTATGCGCATAAGTGTGCTTTGACTACGCATGCTCAAGGAAATTGAGTAGGTGCTTACTGTAGGTGGCAGCAGAGGTCAACCAACCAGTAGAAGAATAGTATGAGTAGTTGTATGAGGTGGTGTGCAGGCATCTGCATATCTGTTTTTTCGTATTGTCTAGACATTGTACTGTGGTATATGATATTTTCAAAAGCAACCCTGTTCCAGTATTTTGAAAACTTGGTGATTAAATTTGCTGAATTTGCAAATTTTGTCAGAGATTTCAAATTACACCG